GTTAAATTACAATAATTAAGAGGGAGACTTTAATTTACTGCAGATAAAATTTATTGTCTTCACCCACCAAACTCGTGAACCATGCCAGGCAATTTCAGATAAAAATTGAAAGTAAAAAAGAATTTATTTCGTTAAATCTTGAAAGTAGACTAGTATATATAATAATAATTGTAATTTTTAAAAAAATAAATAAATAATAATAATCACCAAACAGAAAACACCAGAGTAGATGAGTTCAACGCGTGTCATTATCAGCATTTACACCCACAGTTTCTTGTTTATTAATACCAACATTCTTTTTCAGATATGCAGAGTGTAATAAATATCTTTGTTTCTTTTTCCTATTTTGTTTTTTAATATGTTCTTTTGTTAAGAAAGGTGAAGTGGTGGGTAAGAGTAAAGAGATAAGCTGCTTTGGGTTTATATATATGTATGTATCAAATATGATCCACTTCCATTTAATGCATGTCATAAGCCTAGAGCCATACAAAGACGAAGCCCAGGCCAAAACCAGTTATCTAATTATTAACCTTTACTTGAAATTTTTCCTGTGCACAGAAATTTTGTCTTCTTTACACATTTGGATGCAAAAATCTCTTTTATTTTCTCTTTCCTTGTTTCATGTTATTTCTTTTGTTTACATGAGTACGAATTCCTGAATGCACTCTATCTTTACACAGCAGACACTATGTATTTTCCACATACCTGGACTTTCTTTAAGAAAGTATATCAATGGAAGTTCTTCTCTCTCTCTCTCTCTCTCTCTCTCTCTCTCTCTCTCTCTCTTGGGTGAGGGTAAAATCTTTGTTGTTCTTTTTTTATGAATATTTCTCTGGACTTCTAGTTTGGACAATTACAACCGGAATTTCGCCATGAGTTTTTTATTAAGAATTTTTCTTCTACAACCAATTCTGTGACTTGCTCAAAGCTAATGATTTGTTTGAGACCCTTCAATATTTTGAATGGGGTTGTGAGCACCCAACTAATAGTGGCTAGGTTTGTTAGAAATTAATTTCAATTAATTACTTTTCGGCTGTAAAAGGTTGTGTGGAATGATTTCAAACTTTGTTAAATTCTTCTCCCTTACTCTTGTCTTCTCCCTAAATTCTTTTCTGTTTCTTCTACAATTCTTCTTCCTTTATTTCTTCACAAGTCAGGACAGATTCCTAAGAGGTGCTGAAAGCCTTTAAATTCTAATACTTGTAAAATTCTTGGCAATAGATAAAATGCTTGTAATGGTTTTTTTGTGACAATGTGAACTGTCTGCTATATTGATTATCGAACTTTGTCAAATTCTTAATTAAGCTACTTCTCTGCTTGTGCTTACAATGTGCCATATTGATGCATGCACAAATTGAAAAAGACTGGGACGATAAAAATACTACTACTTGTAGTAGTGAATTTAATTTTAGGTTCCCTTACTGAACTTTTGTTATTCTTACAGAGTTTAATGTATATCCTAGTTCCACATTTCTCCTAAGATGAATTTTGTAGATAATTTGGACACAAACAAATCTGAAAACATTATTAAAATTCCATGACATTCACCATCTAGGCAGAGGAAAGATTTGAACAGAATTGCCTGTTGTTAAAGGAGATATCAAAGTTAAAGATTAACCATCACGACCATTGAACAAGCAAAAAAATTGAGCCTACACAGATGAAAGCATACCATCAGATTCAACTAGCTAGCTACTGTATGTCAACAGCATGGTTAGGCGGTAACAAATTGATTGTTTACGTGAAAAAAATGTACTTAAATGAGAGAAAGGTCAACTCGTAGTAAAATAAAATAGGTTGCATCTAGAAAATGGGACATCCATCAACTGAGACACCTTCCGCCATAGGACAAGTAGCCAACGGACAGTGATCTCCCACCTCTAATCCCCACCAATTAACCCCATAAACACCACCAACTCCTAGAGTTAACATTGTTAATGTCCCTAAGATGGCAACTCCAATGTCAAGGGCATTTGCCAATGCATAATTATAGGTTGACCACCACTTTTTGTACCTCCTGTACACAAAAACGTTGTACAAAATCCCAACTGCAGACCAACTCCAGTAATTTGCAGCAGAAGCCACAGGCCAAGACGATATTGCAGATAGTATATTAGGAACGTTGATAGAGTTAAGCCATTTCTTTTGAGGGAAAGACTTTAACAAAACCCAAACGAAAACAGTTGCAAAGAAACCAAAGAACAGAAACCAATAGAGGTTTGAGTATAAACCATTAGGAAAAAATACGCGGCTTGGACCAATAACACCCCAGATGGCTGAGGAGCCGTATCCAATAGTAAAGCCTGGGCATGTCCAAGGACTACCTTTTGGTAATCTTTTTGGATCGCAGATGTTCTCAATGCTTGAAACTATCCACCAACATGTTCCAAGAGGAATAAAAGTTGCTACCAGGGTGCCTGCCAATTGTGCAACAAACATAGTTTTAGGTGGAATCTTCATGTAATGAGCCAACTTGAGTTCACTAATTAAACCAAGAGCTTGGAATTCATTCCCAATTATGTAATGTTTGAAAACCAAAAGGCCAATTGGTCTGCCAGGGTAGATGTATCCAAAAAGCATTTCCGAGAAAATATTTAGCGCGATGAACTGTAAAAAAATTCAAAAAAAAGAAAACATCATTATTACATTAGATGTAATTAAGTCTATTGTGCGTGCCTGTGTGTGTTTGTGTGTGTGTATTGGGAACTTAATTATAAGTTACCTGCCCAGTTGTTGCTTGAAGTATAGCCAGAGGGAGAAGGAAAATAAACATTAGAGCACAGGATAACAAAATTCCCCAGTATGGAAGTTGCAGATCGTTCTTATATATTTGACATGTAAAAATTGCAAGACCTGCCATTGACACCAAGATTGCTAAAAACCACCACTGAGGAACAGGATCATACTTGGTCATTAGCCTATTATGGACATCTCCAACTCTATTACTATTATTGAATGCTTGCTTAAATTGCTTCCATGTTTCCCTGTCGGAAACAAGTAGCTGTGTGCAATTAGCCTCGAGATATAATCAATTGGCTAGCTATAGAGGACTAGTGACAATTAAACAGATAAAAAGAATACCGATCAAAACAAGTACCTTCCATGAAATAGACAAAAATGAGAAAGAATTGCGGTGATACTTGCAAGGGCAAAACCAATATTGAAGAGATAAACCACACTAAGGTAAATCTTGGAGTAGTTGTCATATTTTTCTTGGTTGAACGTCAAGTCTTGCTCATTTATGATTCTCGAGACATTATAAGCTTGACCATTATACTGGTAAAGGGTATTGCTCGAAAGTGGGAATCGCTGTGCATTGTATAAGTTAAACCAGTATGCTAATGGGGCAACAACATAATAGAACAAAATGAATCCAACCATAATGTTGATGATGGTAGACAAAGGTAAGACTAATGGATTGCCTATAAATGATATTGAAGCCCAATCCAGAGTGAAAGAACCAATTCCAAATCCATTACGACCAGAGCCAATAAGCTGCGCAATGACTGAATTCTTCCACACCCAACAAACAAAAGAGAGAGCGGCAATTGAAGGGAAGAAGTAGCCTGGAACGATATAATAGGCAAAGCTTATGATACTTGATATAATGAAGAACTGAAACTTTGTCACTCCTCCTTTCGGCCTAATAAATTCCTCACCTTCGTGCAATGTCCTGGACCACTCCAAACAGTACAAGTCTATTAGTTTAACTTTGTTCATGGCATATTTTTCGCCGATGTATACACACAAACACGCATACAAAATGCACGGAATGAATGAATGAGGATATTGTATAGTTAATTACGCACCTGTAGAATGAGACATCGCTTAACACAAGAGGATACCACATGTAAGGAGAATTTACAAGAAGCTTAGAAAATAAACCCGCAAATCCATAACCCATCAACTGTGAGAAAATTTGAAACATTAGTGTTCAAACAAACATGTGGCAAAGACATGCATGGTTGATTGAAAACTAAACCTAGCTGAGTGATCACCTGAACCGTTAAACACACCAAGATAATGGGGAAGAAGCTTGTATTCATCTGATAAAAAACCTTTCTAATAATCAGAATATCTGTAGGAATGCCGTTGATTCCTGAGTTTGCTAAAATAGAGAGCACCACATGCTCTTTGACGTTGAATGGTCCTGGATTCAATGTAAAACTCCATTTGATTCCTGGAACTTTGATCAGAGTAGAGGGAAGCAGAGCTGCCATCAATTTTCCAACAAGGCCGAGCATAATAATTACAAAAGTCGGAGGGAAGAAGAACACAACCTGGCGATAACTGGAGAACTCATTGACGAAAGCCAGAAATGCACATGTAATAGGACCCAGAAGCCATGTTCGAAATGTGAAGGTTGGAAGTGTTGAATCATCTGTGATCGGAACTGTCAACCTCACTTGTTCTACCGGTGAATCGTTGATTTCATCAGAATCCATCTCCCCTCCACGACTAACTGTTTTGGCTCTGGTATTGAGTCTGAACAAAATGATAATAAAATGAAGGAATTAATTTTTCACAGAACCAAACCTAGATAATTGAGGAACAATAATATTCATCTTCATTTCATAAATTGATGACCAAGATTTTCTTTTTTTACATGTACGATGGAGAAATTATAGTCTATAACGGGTATCTACTCTTGATATACTATCATATCGCACTTTTATTGATCCGATAATAAAGATTTGAAACTATTAAATTATATAGATTTGATAAGTTATTAATAAAAATATAATATCATCGAGCACAATAAATAAAAATCCATAGCGATAATAATATAAGAAAGTCTTATCGCAATCATAATCGAAATATACATATATATATATATATAGAGAGAATTTTTAGTAGTGTAATAATAACTAATCATTCTAGTTGTAAGAGAGAAAAGAGAGATGAATGTATAAGTCTGATAGATAATGTTATGAAAAATCTCCAACTTTTTAAAATCAAAATTTCCTTAGGGGTTTTCATTTATGATCGAGTAATAAGTTCTTGAATTTCTTTAACTCTGTGATACTGCAAGAAACTAAGATGCATGCATGCAAGATGATCGATTTTGCCTAATTCAAACGGGCAAGTCATAAACTTGAGCCGAGAAATTGCAGTTTTGAGAAAACAAAAATACATACCGAGCGATGAGGATATTGAAGGATTTTTTTTGTTTTTTCCAGTTGAAATTATTTAACTTTAAATGAATATATTTAAAATTTACGATATATAATATCTTTCAATAAAAAAATAAATAATTATATAAAAATTACGTACAAATAACAGCACGACTAATAATTTTACAATTTTAAATTTGTATTATTAAAGAGAGGGGTAAAAGTGGCAATTACCCAATTAAAGCAGATAATTGGTAA